CCCCCCCCCCCCCCGCTGCGAGGGCGTGTGCCTGGGGGCCGGAGGGCTATGGAGCAGGGGAAGGAGTGGGGAGTCCCAGGGAGGAGAGGACCCTGCGGAGGAAGCTCAGGAGGGCTGGCCCTGGCAGCTGGCTCCGTGCAGGAGCCCCCACAGCTGGCAAGAGCTGCCCCCAGCGACCCGCGCCGAGGCGGCCAGGGGCCGGGGCACAGCCTCAGCTCCCCCAGAGGGGCCTTCGTCCCCAGCCCACGCTTGCCTCTCGGTGGGCAGTGTGTGCCCATGCAGAGCTCCCTGAGTACCCCGGCGGGGACCCAGGCCTCGCCATGTGAAGGGGCTGCGGGGTGTGGGACCCCGACTTGGCCATCCTTCCAGAGAGCCGCTCTCCTTGTTTTCCAAGTGACCGTTATCATGGGAGAAGTACAGGAAATCGGTTTGATAATTGCATTTCTCACATGGTTTTTAGGAAAAGATCACAGCTAGTTCTCTGACAAGGCAGGAGGACACCTAGCGGTCAAAGACGGCCGCTCAGGAAGTTTTCCCGTTTCCCGTGGACCCGCCCGGGTCTCCGTGCGCAAGCAGGTGGTGTTGCGGCTGTTGCTGGGAAGTTAGTGAAGGCGGGACAGGACACCGCTCTTTCCATCCTCAGGTACACAGACATCCGGCGGCCGCCCCGGGGCTCTCACTCTGAGGGGGGCTGTCCTCTGCTGGCCGGTGAAGGTGCTGCCCCCTCCCTGGGCCAGGGGTCTCCTCTGCACCTCACACCCTCGCAGAGACTCAGCCAGGCTCCTGGTGCGGGGCCAGGAGAGGGTGACATGGTCTGCGGCTGAGATTCATAGAAGTCAGCCCACGGGGCGGCAGGAAGGAAGAGGCAGGTCTCCGGGAAAGGCAGAGGTGGGGCCGAGGGTGAGGGGGCGTGGGGGGGACCATGGACATCGTGCTCGCCCTCGGGTGTCCACTCGCTGGCTGACCTGAGAGTCCCCACAGCTTTTCAGCTGCCCGCGCCTCAGGCCAGACACGCCAAGTGGTTCCGTCCGGCTGAGCGGCAGGCCTGGCACTCAGTGCACACTGGATCGTCTCAGAGCGGAGCGGAAGGTGGGCCAGTGGCCACTCAGCGGTCACGCCATGGTGACCAGAGCTGTGGGTTGCACTGCTTGGTGGGAGATTTAGCTCCATCACTGCATTACCAGCCACTGACCTTTGCACACGTGTTCTTAAACTTTCTGGCCTTTCTCACCGTATGTGTCAAATAAACATAAAACAGCCCGTGCCTCTCAGATGACCCCCACTGAGCTGGGCCCGTGGCCGAGGCTGCGGGCTGCAGTAGGTAAGGGGCCGTGCTGGGGTCTTGGGTGGCGCATTTCCCGGACCACATCCCGGCCAATTTCACAGAAATTGCTCTTAACGTCTCTTCAGTGTGGACAGCGTGTGTCGAGTCTCCCATTCACTCATCACCTGCAGTTGTGATTATTCTTCCCACACGTATTCGTCAAATACCTGCTTTTTGTGAGCACTGGCCTTGTCACTGCTGGGCAAACTATTCTCCTGAAAGTTATGGTTTGTTTAGGAGAAACTGAAATAAATTAAACCAGTGATACCTTCTGACAGTGACGGGACTTGGGGAGAAGCTCGAGAGTGATGGGGGGCTGGTGCGGGCGGCCAGAGAGCGTCCCTGGGGCAGCAGGGAGGCTGCGGCGTCAGCACCGCACAGACCTGGCTGGCTGGGATCTGGGAGGGTTTCGACCGGAAGAAACCACGAGGTCGATGACCAGGAGTGGGGAACGCGCGCGTGTTCAGAGGGACGAGGAACTCGTCACCACGTTGTCTGAGTTCCTGGACGTCCTGTGATCAGATGCGGTCAGGAGGCCACGCGCGAAGCTGCGAGGGCTTGGGATTTGCGGCACCTCACTGCCTGAGCTCGCTGGTCTCTGATCACACCTGCCCTCCTGTGCTGGCGAGCACCTGCTGGGTCATGGCTGCACGGCTGTCCAGGCACGCCTCTGTGAAGGGCGCTCAGGCCAACAAGCGGTCACGGCCCGGAGGGTCATTTAAACACGACCTGGTGAATGCCTGGATTAATAAACTGCGTTTAAGGGACTCTTGTGGCAAATGGCAGTGAACGGCAAGAAACTCACTTATTTTCTGACCGGTGTTTCCTGAGCACCTGCGCGAGCAGCGGATCTATTCACCGCCAGGGAGGGGCCGAGTCTGAGAGGAAGGTCCGGTTCAGTCTGGTAGGCAGGAGGACCAGGGCTCCGCCCAGTGCCGTCTCTGAGTCCCTGCGGGATGGTCTCTGCTCAGCATCCCCGTGCATCTGGTCGCGTTGGCCTGGAAGGTTCCGCGTGTGCGGCTGGGGAGGGAGGGCGTGGGGAGAGCACAACCACCTCGCTCGCTGCTGATGCGTCCCCCTCCGGTCAGACCCGCCATGTTGGGCGCACGCGGCCTGTTCTCCCCAGGGCGGCCCCGCCCGGCCAGCAGCATTTCCTCCGGGGCTCTGACGTGTCCGCGCACCACCTCTGCTGCTGTTTATTTCCCCCCAATCTAATTGCTTTGATTTTTAGTAAGTACCTTTGGTTGGAAGGACTTATTCTCACGGTGTCTGGGAAAACAGGGTCATTGGTCATGAATAGAAGGGGACATGGAAAAGCAGCGCGGGCAGGGGGAGCGCCCCGGCCTCGTCCGCGCTGCCCTGGGGCACGTGGCCGCACCTGCAGTCCCCGTGCGTGGCCGCGTCCCTCTGCCCGCGCCTGCCTCGGAGCGCACTCTGAGAACTCACCGAGGTGACAAAATTTTTTGTGGAAAATAATGGATTTTAATTGACCTCCCGCCTCTCCTTTCCGTCTACCCGTCTCCGTCTCCCCTGATGGCGCCGAGTCCTTATCTCTGAACTCTGGCTCCCCGGAGGGCTGCGCTGGAGAAATGGAAATGCAGATTGCAGCTGGGACCCCAAAGACCTTGCTCAGAGTAAAACAGTTTAATGGAAAAACAACAGCATTTAGGACAGTCCTGAGCCGGCCCCCCTAATTCTGGCTGTGCAAGTTCTTGCCAACGAAGGTCAGTAGAATAAAAACTCAGGTAGACGCGGATCTGGATCTCCCTCTGCAGGAGGCCGGTGAGAGCTCCCTCCCCGCCAGGCCTGTGTGCGCTGCAGCGGGGCTGTCAAAAGCCCTTTCCTCCGAAGTCCAGGGCCTGCTCGTAGGCTCGAGCGCGTCGCCCCTTCCTCACCATTACTCTATATGGTTTTTCTTAAACACTGTAAGAAACTGGCCCTTGGTGGGTTCATTTCCCAATAAAGCAAGAAACAAGTCACTTGTTCCACACTTATTTATGAATGTTTGTAAAAACCTTTTACACCCCCCAAAGGGGAGACATTTTCAATTGCTCGTAAATGGATTTGACACCAGTAACTCTTAAAGTGCTTCTTCACCTCCCGCTGGGACATGAGCCTTCCAGATGGACATCGGTGTCAGGGCTGGGCCTGTGCCTGCTGCAGCGCAGTGACCACACCATCGTGCCCACTGGGTCAGTCCGTCCTGCTGCCAGGCTGTGCAGGGGTCGGCGGAGGGGGGCGCAGTGACTCTGGACGCCGCGGCCAAGTATAGGCCGCGGGGTGCAGGCGGGCACGAGGCTGCCAGAGGAGAGGCGGTTCTGGGTGCCGCTGAACCCTGTGTGGGCAGGTCATCACAGCACCGAGAGCTCTGGCTTGCCCAGAGCCCCCAGGACCCAGGACACAGCTCAGGAGGGCTGGGCTGCTCGCCTTGGCCTCTCCACGGAGAGGGTCTGTGGCCGAAGCGGCCTCCCTCCGATGCGGAAAGTCACGTTTTCCACCTGGTGGCCTGCACAAGGGCCGGGCTGGACCTGGCATCTCACCCTTCCCTTGTCTGGGGGGACAGCAGCTTTTCCTGCCCAGCAGACTGGCCTGTGGACAGACAGCAGCCTCGGCGAGCTGACCTGGCCTTGGGGTGCGTGTGCCGGTGGACGATGCAGGGCGAGGTGGGGCTCCCTACACCCCTCTCCTCTGTGCTCTGCATGTTGGAGTCTGGTCAGCACCAGCCTCTCGAGCCTCACTTTCCTTCCAGCCCCCACGGCCAGGCCTCGCCAGGCTCCATGAAGCCACTGCACTGAGCACCTGCGCAGCGCCACTGTTCAGGTTATCTCTGTGGAAGAGGGCCGCAGGCCTGTGCACTCCCTGGAAGGCCACGGCTACCCCTGGGTGCCCACCATCCTGCTGTGCCCGACACTGGCACACGGGATGTCCTCAAGGTCCGGGGCGGGGGGGTCCTGATTCCTGCTCTCCCTCAGGTGGCTGACTGTGGCCGAGGGGTCTTCCTGGCCAGGGCAGCACTGCCTGCGCTTCCCGGAGGGCCCAGCCTCGGCCCTAACTAGGCTGCGAGTTCCTCCTTAGGTGAGGTGCCGCCCCACCGTGTGCACCCGTGTGGGGGTGCTCTCCTGTGGCCCCCGTCCTCCTTCACACCTGGGGCTTCAGTGGCTTGGCCCCTCCTGCTAGCCCTGGCACAGCCCTGACTGTGACCACGTTTCTGCTGACCCTGCCAAACGCCTCCTCCAAGAACCCACAGTGAACCCCAGGGTCCCGCAGGCCACCTGTCAGAATGGCCTAATGAGCCCTCCTCGCCCCCGCCCAGGTGCCCAGCGGGTCACCTCTGAAGGAGCACCCCTCCCGGTCAAAGATTTTTGTTACTCAACATTGAGTATGCGCCGTCACTCAGTGCACTTATCAGATCTAGCACGTCTGTCTCACCAGCTTTTCACTTTTCATGAATAAAAAGCAAGGTGTGCAGAGTAACGCGGATGTGGGAGGTGAGGTCGTTAGGACAGAGACTGTGGGTGCTGTGGGCGGAGTCACCCACCGTGAGGACCCCTCAGAGCATCCTGCCCGGCGCGAGTGACCGCAGCTCTCACTGGCAGGGCCCGCTCTGGGGCTAGATTTCTTTTCCTAAAAAACAAAACAAACCTAATTCTAAATCTTCTTTTCTTTCTTTTCCAAGATATTGATGACTTTGAAACCAAAGCAAGGAGCACGGTATCCGTCCGAGAAGGTCAGGGGGTGGTGCTGCTCTGCGGACCCCCGCCACACTTTGGAGGTATGGGGTGCACGTGGGCACTTGGGGGTGAGGATTCACCAGAGACAAAGTGGGGAGCAGAACAGGTGGATCCACTGACACACACTGCTGAGGGGAGCAGCGGGGAGACAGGAGAGGTCTGCTGCGCCCTGTGGGCACCTCCCTGGCTGGGGATCGAACTCAGCTCATGGCAGTGACAGCCTGAGATGTGACCTCTATGGCACCTTCTTTTATCTTGTAAAACTGTTTGATCAAGAGGGACATCAGTTCTTTGAAAGTTTGTAAACATTTATTTGTAAGTAAAGCCTGTGCCTTTTATTTTAGAAAACATTTTATCACTGTTTCAGTTTCCATGCTTGTTACCATTTTCTTCAATTCATCTGTGTGTCTTCCTGGCTTAGCAGACTGCTAGGGCCGGAGATGGGAGCCTTCCCCGCCAATATCACAGCTATTGGCATATTGTCACGTACAGAGCAATCTCTTACGGTCTTAAGTATTTCTACGCTATCCGTAGAGATTTCTCATCTGTCATGTGTGACTATCAATGTTTTTGTCTTTTTTGTTAGCCTAAATGGAGATTTGTCTATTTTATTCATTTTCCTAAAGGACTAGGCTTAGTTTCATTGCTTTTTCTGTATAGTCTTTTTGAGCTCTATTTCATTTATTTCCTTTCTTATTTACATGATTTCCTTCACTCTACTAGTTTTGAATCTTATTTGTTTCTCTTTTTCAAGTTGTTTTAAACGAAATGTTAGTTTATTTGGGATTTTTCTTGCTCTGGAATGTGCACCTGTGTTTCCATTCCTTCCCCCTTAAGGCTGTTTCTGCTGCGCCACGTAGGTTCTGGTAGATTGTGTCGCTATTTTCATTTTTCTGAAGATTTTTTTTTAAGTTTCTGCTTTACCTTTTTCCCCTCTTACTCAATTGTTATTCAGTAGCATGCTGTTCAGTTTCCATGAATTCATTGATTTTTTGGTTTCTTTTTTTATAATTAATTTCTAATTTCATGACATAAATGTCAGAAAAGGTACTAGGTATAATTTCTGTCCTTGTGGTTCTATTGACAGTTGGCTTGTGTCCCCAGGAATGGTCTATTCTTGAAAATGATAGATGTGCAGTGCACTTTAAAAAAGTATATGCAGCAGTTTTGGGTGGAGTGGGAACTCATGTTGACCTGGGTATGATCAGAACACCTTGGGCTTTTTATGCTTTACCTCTAGTGTAGTCACAAAAAATTTGCAAAATATTTCTTTAAAAAGGAGGTCTAGCAATATGTTTCAGTATGTTTTATTAGTAAAAAACTTGTGAGTCAGGAATGTTATCAACTAGGCTGAATCCTACAAATTTACCAGTGAAGATCACTCCGACAACAAGAGGAAAAGAAAAATATACGCAGATGGGTTTCCTACAGACACACGTAGTCACGGCTCGGTGGAATAGAACAGTGAGCATCAGCCAGGCGAACAGGAGCAGTGACAGAGGTGTTCTTCCTTCCAAATGCTGCAGCGAGGCGCTGGTTCCAAGTGGATCACCTTCGGGGGTGCTTTCCACCCAGATTGTAAGGAGACCACAAATGCCTCTGGGAAGAAGTGGGGGCGCACTGGAGACAATGCCGGGGGAGAGGCACCGTGATGGAGAGAGAAAGACACTAAGCCATGGGATCCAGAACGCAAAATCTATCCATTCTGCATTATCACATAGAAATGAAATATTTCAAAACAAAACAGGAACCATTCCCGTGGCTCTGGGAGTGGAAATTTTTCACTTCCTCAATCCTATTTTCTAGCCGGAAATAAGCTCCATGGATGTTACTGAATCTGCTGTAGCCCCAGTTTCAGCCTTTTTTTTTTTTCTATTTTCCTAAAAAAAATACAACTCCAGGATATTTCACAGAGAAGTAAGTTTTACTGAAAATTTTGTGCAAAGCACATGGAGGGGAAACCATGTATCAGCTAGAAACATTTAAGGGTCTTTGTTGAATATCACTTTCCTTTCTCCCAAGCCCTCTCCCTCGCACTGGATTGATTTCCCTCACTGCTCAAACTATCACAGAAAACCCCTTCTATTCCTGTTGTTCTTATTCTTAATTCGGACAGCCATCTCAGGGAAGCAGCCTGGGGGGCCTCTTGGGGCTTGTGAGAGCCCAGCATGGTCATCAGATGAAGACAGACTTTGTCTTTCATCTACTCTGCTCTTGGAGGTTCTAAGTCACCCTCTACTCACAGGTCCATGAGACGGGAGGACGCGATACAGTCTCTACGCCGCTGACTCATTTGGGAAGAGGTCCCTGAGCCTTGAGTTAAACTTTGTGCTGTTCGGCAGTGAGGTCTTTTCACCTCAAGGGTGAGGTTTCAGCCGCAGCCTCCGTTCCTTGTAACAAAGATGCCGCAGAAGTCATTTCAATAGACTGAAAGCAGTGTTTCCTCCACATTTTGGAAACGAACATAAAACCCTTGAAACCGAAGCCTTTGCATGAACATGAAAATGCGCAGTCAATACATCTCCGTGGACACAATGCGTTAGTCCAGCCTTGCATGAAATTTTATTTTAAAATGACAGCGAAGAAATGATATGTGTTGTCTAAAATAATTAAGATCACCTTCACTGTGAATAATAGCTTCGCCATACCGAAAGAAAAGCACATTCTTTTCCTTTATTGTCTGGATATAAAACTCTCAATCCTGGGCTCATAAAAATCATAGGTTTAAAATTTGTTTTAGAGGAAATGTTCCATTCCCCCTCAGATGCAGGCTTAGGTTGGTAGAAGAAGTGAATTTATGCCTGTAGTTTGGAGCATCTGTGTCTGCAGGCGGAAGATAGCACTGCTGTGGACCCTGAGTATGTTCTGGTGTCAACAGAAATGTTGACAATTTGACTCGGGCTGAAAATCATTCCGGCAAAGCCTCCTCTAAGTTGTGTTGCAGAACAAAGAGGAAAATCATATTGAGGAAAAGTGTTAAAATTTCACGTCTCCTTCCTCCCATTTCTCTCTCCCCCTTGGTGCTGTTTCTGGAGTACGTGGCAGTGGCGTTGGCTGTGGGCTGCTTGGGTCACTCTGTGTGACGGGGTGACAGGCAGATAGGCCTGGCGGTGGCGATTCATAGGACTCTGCCAACGCTGGCCACGGCCACCATCAGGGAGCTGCACTGTGTGTTCCCTCTGCAAATATTTGCTGAGCACTTACTAGACGCCTATTATTTTTCTGAGTTTTAGGCATATAGTGGTGGGCGATGTCACAAAGTCCTTAACTCCATGAGTCTTGCAACAAGTATAATAAACAAAATAAGCATGTCAGATGTTAATAAAATTCAGGGAGAATAATTACGAGGGTGGGGTTGCTGTCGTCTCTGAGGTCCAAGCGGACTTTGTTGACATTTAAGGAAGAAACAGAGGACGAGAGAATTCGACATTGAGTCGAGTTCAGGCAGCAGCGGGCACAGCACACGTCAAGGACCTGTGGTAGGACCTTGTCCTCCGGTGAGGCCTGTGTGGGGGAAGCAAAATGAGCAAACAAGAGAGGGGATGAGGCTCTAAGGCAGGACTTTCGGGAATTATTAGGGCCTCTGGATCTCGCTGTAAGATGCATCTGCATTGTGAGCTGTGAGCAGACAGGATGCTTTCTCTGGCAGGAATTTAGGCCACACGGCGGCATGAGCACAGGCCATCCGAAAGCATCTGTGATGATGCACATGCGAGGATGTTGACTCGGACCCGGGGTATAGCATGGGCAAGTGGGTAGGTGGATCCTCAGCATGTTTCATGGGGGTAGCTGGAAGAACTTCTGGAAGACAACATGTAGGTCGTGAAGTGGGCGAAAAGATAACTCTAAATCTTGGGGGCGAGCAACTGGACTAATGAAGAGCCATTTACTGGGATGGAGCAGGTTTGGGATGGGGGCGTTGGGGAGCTGCTTGAAGGCATGCGGGTGTCTGACGTCAGAGAACCTCTGGAGCCCGGATGATTCACGTGCCCAGGAGTGGAGGCGGGAGCTCGGGCCTGGAGGGTGCCTGAACAGGGGCCGGGCCCGGGGAGACAGCAGCGGGGCTGTCACTTCAGGGAGAAGCTGAGCGCTCTCCACACTGTCGAGGAAGTGTCTCCATCTGACAGAGTGCGTCGCTGTGGCGAAGAGGGACTGTGGACACGGCAGAGGGCCTGTGTGTGGGCTTCGGGAGAGCCTGTCCACGCACCACCACTGGCCAGTGCCCGCTGGCCTGTTCCGCCTCGCTGGGGGCGGACACTCAAGACACGCGGAGTGGGCGGAGACGCTGGCCTCCGCCTCCTCTGCAGGCTCTGCCCTCGGCCCCGCGGGGCTGGTGGTCAAGAGTCACGGGGGACAGAGCGGCTCAGGCCCCGGGGGAGCGGCCGGCAGCTCTCCGATAGCATCGTCCACGTGCTCCGCCCACGCCTGTGCCTTAGCCCAGCAAGGGAGTGACTTTCCTTGGATTGGGTGTTGGCCACTGAGCACCCGTCACTGAACTGTGGTTTGCCACGAGAGCCGGCACGCTTCACCTGGGAGCGCAGCGCGGAGTCGCCATGCAGGGCACGCGCTCTGGAGTGGCCACAGGGAGGGCTTGTCCGCCAGAGCTGAACGTTGTGCTGCCAACTCTGTATTCTCCTCGTTCATCTGCTGCCCCAAGACACGCCCTGCTCTGCCCCCCGCAGACCCTGGCGGGCTGGCGCCTCTCACCCGGGGCCTCCTCTCTGAGACCACACCTGGTGCTGGCCCACCTGCGCTCACACGGTCTGCATCTGGAGTGTCATCGCGCGGTGTGGGCTGGAACATCTGCCCCTGGGCGCCTCGGGGAGGGGGTCTGCAGCCCGCTCCATCGTCCACAGCCCCGGGCGGCCGTCTCTGGCAATCATCAGGCCGCGGGGCCGCGCGGGGATGCAGACGCTTCCGGAGGGCTGCAGCTCAGCCCAGCTGTGACTGCTGGATCATCGCGGGCCGCATCGCCATCATTAACAACAGATAAATGTCATACGGGGGGAGAAAATATTTAAAAATTCAATGGTTTCAACTTAAGTGGCTCATGAATTATACATTTAATTAAGAAAAGCCAAATGGGAAGGATTTTAAACTTCCAATTTGCAAGGTGCTTTTTCTTTTCCCATTAAAAAATATACACATTAAGCCGGCCCTGGCTGAGGTGGAACAGCACTGCCCTGGCTGTTGGGGTGAACGAGCAGAGGGTGCCGGGGGAGCCCGCGGGGCAGGAAAGCTGCAGCTTGGCACCCGAGTCCGGAGGGCCCAGAGCTGTCCTGGCTCCGCGCTGCTGTGGCCCCTGCGGGGAGAGGGCCCAGGCCAGGCTCCTCTGGTGCCCACGCCCCGCAGGCGGGTGCGTCCTGGGGTCCTGGGACTGGACAGCGGCGTGGAGGCCGGAGCGGGTTGGGTCTCTGCTGGGGACGTGCCTGTGGCAGCGGCCGGGGGTCTCGCAGGCTTGTCCCCGGGAAGCCAGCGGGAAAGGAAAGGGGCTGTTCACATTTCCCTCTCTCGTGGGCCTCCCCACTTCTGACCGTTCTCGTCAGCCCCTCGGCGCTGCCGCTGGAGAAGGGCCGGCCCGTGTGGCACAGGCTGGGTGGCAGCAGCCGGGGTAAGATGAACCCGCCGGATGAGGAGGATGTTCTCGCCGCGCTTCCGCCTTCCCCGGGCAAGGGGCACACGGGCTCCGCGGGATGAAGGGCCTCCCTCGCGCTCCTGACGGCCGTGTCCCCGCCAGGCCGGAGCTGGTCCGGGGCCACTTCCCCCACTTTATTCATTTTCACATTCCATGAAGCAGTGGCATCGCGGCTGCTGCGGCGCCACCAGCTGCTTCATCTGAGGGTCGCGTCAGCGTCCTGCGCCGTGAAGTCCCTTTTATGAATTGTTCTCGGAATTCCTCACTGGAGCTCGTCCTCCTGCTCACAACCATTTTTGGTAGATTCATTTTTCCTTCCTTCTGATTCCTTCCACCTCCTTTCTTCTTCCAGTTTCCCGAGTGTGTTGTTAGCGCTTTATTTCTCCTCTTAGTGACGGAGCTGCTAAAGATGGCAGCAGCCCTGCACTCCGCCTTCTCAAGAATTCTTCTATACAGATCAGATCCCAGGTCAGAGCAGCTGCCAATTTGTATTGCTTCCTCCTCTAGAGAAGTTGGATCCAGGAAGCCAGTGAGAACGTTTCAGGCCCGCGTCCTGCCAGGGCGGACGGCCGAACACATCAGAAATAATCAGCCTTTTTGTCTCCACCCCACGTGCCTCTGCACCAGGCTTTAACATTCTCAAGCAGATGCCACCTGTGACCTCAGCCTCTGCCTGGACCCGCGGACTGAGGGCTCCAGGTGCTCTCGGGGACTGTGATTTCCAGGGCCGTCTGCAGGGGGAGACCTTTGCCTCTACCCGGCGTATCCCCGCCCCACCAGCACCCACGGCCCCACCCGCTCCGGGCCTCGGGAGCCTGCTGCAGTCTTACCCGCCCCACAGCAGTTCAGCCCGGCCAGGCCAATTTCCAGGCACAGGTGGTTCCTGAGATACGCGTAGAGCGTCCGCCACGAGACCACAGCCCCTCGCTCAGGAGTTTCTGGCTAGTTTATGTGTAGTTCAGCCTAAACATAATGGTCCCAAGAGCTAGAAACAGCCCATGGCGCAGCGCACACTCCCTGACGCGCGTCCTGAGCTGGCAGTGAGGGGCCAGCGAGGTGGGGAGTGCCTCCGAGTGGGAGGGGCGCGAGCTGCCCGTCGCAGGCAAAGGTCGCCAAGTGCAGAAAGATGGTGCATGCCGAGTTTTTATTTCAGTGTTATGACACCGGTACTGGTGGAAATGATCTGTAATGACGAATGCTGGGCAGCAGCACGGCGGGCTGGGCAGGAAGGGGCGCAGCGTGACTGAGGAGACGGGTGTGCTCCCTGGGAACGCACCGGGTGGTGGGTACAGGGGTCTGTGATGGTCACACCCGATGGAAGTACGTTTTAGCACGGCATAGCATCCTAGGTACACGCAATATATGTTTAGCTGCAAACTGTGTGTGCGCCATGCCTGGCTTCAGCAGACCACAGACGCCTGTAAGATCCCCAGAGGTGGATGACTGGTGCCCAGCCCAGGTGACGCGGCTCCTCCGCCCACCGTGCTGGGTCAGCATGGAGCTGTCCTGGGGTGTCACAGGTGCACAGAGACCACTCCAGACCCCGGTTCTGGGCTCCCTGCAAGCCTCTGCCCAAGCACAGTTGCCCACATTGCGAGTCTCTCTTCACAAGCTCAGTTCTTGCTGTGTTGTGCGCTGAGTCTGAAGAGGTTTGGGACACGCCATCGGACTGTGTGATGATTGCGCAAGCGACCCCAGGACAGGCGACGGAGACCTTGAACTTATGTCTCCCTGCGAGGTTCCAGCAGGTGCCTCTGAAGGAGCCTGATGCGGGCATCCTGTGTGCACGTTGCGGATGCTGCTTCATAGTGAGTGTCACTGCGGAAACCCGGGGGCAGCTCCAGCCCATGTTCTGTGTCACCTACAGCTTCCCGAAACACGATCATCCGTAGTGCGTCCTGGTGAGCCCTGTCATCGCGTCCTCCGAGGCTAGTGACAGGCAGGGTGATGACTTGGGGCTGACGTGGGATGTCTCTGCACGCAGGCTTGGTGGCACCGGCCCCACGAACACAGCGTGGGCCGGACGGAGGGCGGCACGTGGTGCTGTGACATGCAGACGCAGGGTGCAGACCCGCAGGGCAGAAGGGGCCAGTGGGCCCACGCCTGTGTTTCTGTTTTCCAGATTTGTCTTATGCCTGGACCTTCAACGCCAGCCCCTTACATGTCCAGGAGGACAGCAGGCGCTTTGTCTCCCAGGAGACAGGAAACCTCTACTTCGCCAAGGTGCAGCCCTCCGACGTGGGCAACTATACCTGCTGGGTGACCAGCCGGGAGGCCCGGAGGAGCGTCCGCGCACCGCCCACCCCGCTGGTGCTGCGCAGTGACGGTAAGAGCCCGGGACTCTGGACCGCGCTCCGCAGGCTGCGGGCCCCCGCCTCTCTTGTCAGGGTGGCCGCCCGCGTGTGAGTTGGGGTTCAGTTCACAGACACACTGGAGAGCAGGTCTCATCAAAACGTAACAGAAAATCTCCTAATCAGCCTCGTGGCGCAGTAGCTGTGACTGGCGCGGGCCGTGGTCTTGGCTTGAGGGATATTTTCTGTACGACGACGTCTGTGGGGTGTGCCATGTGCACGTGGGGTGCGGCCAGCCAGCTGCTGGCTGCTGTTTCCGTGCACATATGTCGCCCCTCTCTTTCCCATGTTTATCTTTTTCGATCACCTTTTATTTACCGGGTAGGCCAACCAGAAAAATCACCTCCAAGGAAAGGGAGTCACACCGCTGTTAGCTGGGAACCTTCCCCAGAGAAAATAGCCCAGGGTTCATACCAATTACATCCCCCCACGAGCGGAATTAGATTGGTGTCGGATGAGTTTGGGAGCAGCGTCGGGGGTAGCGGGTGCACGGCACAGAGAGGCAGACGCCCAAGGATGTCCTCAAAGCAGAGCCTGCGAGTTGGTTCTTGAACGAAACGTTCAAGCGGGCAGTGTAAGGACAGGGAGTCTGCTGGTGCACCTGATGACACATGCTGAACGCGAAACCCCACCCCTCATTTAGTTCTCCCCTCGGGAGCGCAGGACAGCTGGGCCCTGCTCGCTCTGTCTGACAGACTGGCGCCCGGCCCCACGCGGCGTCCTCGGGACAGAACTTCCGTGGCCCTGCCTGTGGGGCCGTCTGCATGGGTCCCCTCAGAATGCATCCCCTGCCAGGTGTGCTCACCAGCCCACGCTCTCCCGTCAGCAAGCGTTCTGTCCACACCCGGCAGGTGCCATGCCCGGAGAATCTGCCGTCACGTTCATCGTTTCCTCTCCACTCTTAGTTTCTGCTTCTCCCCTTCTTAATTCCTCCCTTCCCGACCCCCTCCGTCAACATCAGCAAATTTACGGTAAAAGTAGATGAGAGGCAATTTATGTCCTACTAGCTTAGCTGAGTGAGGTCACCCCCCCACCCACACACACACCCCCCTCCTCCCGCAACCTCTTGGAATGATGGGAATGAACAAGGTCTGAAAGGAGGTATTTTAATTTTAATGTATGTTGCACATTTCTTCTTTTGTGCAATTGTTCTGACCACCAGAAAATCATTTATTTTAGAAAGGTATTGCTCTAGATTTTGGCATGTAGGTCAAAAAAAAAAAAAAAAAAGATTACATTTCAAAAAAAATGTTGGGTTGGTCCTGATGAAACCCTTTCTTTAACGAGGGTCGCCTACAGCTCCGCCCTGTTGCGTGAGCCCTGGCATGCGTGAGCCTCCGTCCCATGCTTTCAGCTCCCGTGCATAAAGCTTTATTGGAAAATCTCAAACTGTAAGAGAAGCATGATTTGTAAGTACACAGAAACGTGATTTTGCCGTAAACGGGGTCCAGCTGACACAACATATTTATGTGTCTGTGACCCAATCAGTGGGACTGTCTGGTAGGGCCCGTGGCAGGACTCTCAGAGCCTCTCAAGGAAGAGGCTCTGTGCTGGGCTCCGTGAAGGGACTGAGACAGCGCCCCAACCCCGAGCAGGGCTGCCCGTGGCCTCCACAAGGGGGGGCCGTCCTGGGCACCCCAGGGAAGAAACCTTTTCCCTGTTCCAAGGCACGTTCCAGGCAGTGTATTCAGTTCTTGCTGGAGAAACGCTGTCTCCCCAGGGTGCCAACGTGGAGCCCGGGGCGCTCCGGATACTTTTCCCGGCACTTGTAAACCCTAGATATTTATGTTAGGGGCGAGGAGAATGAGGTCCTAAAATCATATCACGGAGTTTTCTCACCCTCTGTCACCCAATCAAATGTAGAAAAATGCTGTAAATTTGGAGGAGAAAAATGATCAGATTTTTGGTTAACAAAGCATTTGCTTCTAGAAAACTTGTGTTCTCCAGAAATGCTGCTAGCTCTTTTGATATTTAACAGGTGTGATGGGGGAATATGAACCAAAGATTGAAGTGCGTTTTCCCGAAACTATACAAGCTGCAAAGGATTCAACTGTAAAACTGGAATGCTTTGCCCTTGGAAAGTAAGGTTGTTTTGTGTTTTATTTCCTGGTTGTTTTAATTTTGTTTAACTTCCGGTTATTCAAGCATTGCTCTAAAGCTAAGTGCCAAGTAGCTCTCAAATGCTGGACAAAGTGGGGTCTTCTTATTGGGAAATAAGCAGACCTGCACACTGCTCTGAAAGTGACCGGGGCTGCACTTCCTCCACAGGTCCCTGCAGTGGGGCCCAGGGGGCGCACCCAGGCCTGCAGAGGGTGGGTGTGGGGGTGGACGGGCAACCCAGACCTGTGTCCAGAAATACGGCATCCCCTGGAGGGCGTCCGTCCTGAATAATCAGGAATTCTGGCAAATGACAAACCTGCACTGCTCGTTTCTAAAATGGGACTCACTAGAGGCCTCCTTTCTTGGGGAACAGTTCGGATTGCGCTAACCGCCTGGAGCGGGGCACTTTGAGGGTCAGATGAGGGTCTGACAGGACAGGCCCCGCCTCCCCGCTGCATCTGTGCGGAGAACGCCCAGCGCGCCTGGGCCTCCGGCCACACTCACGCCACCTGTTCCAGCTCTTAGACCCAGTGCCCAGGCAGGACGGAGAGCGGCCAGCGCTGCCCTTTCTGGTCACCAGAGCGCCTGCGGGCCTCCTACCAGGCCTGTCCATGGTGCTCATGTGCCTCCAGGGGGACCTGATGCCTCCGCTCTGGCTTGTTCCGGGGGTGACGGTTCCCCGGGGCTCTGGGTCTTCCTGTCCATACGGCCTGTGTGACCAGGGGACACGCTCACCGTAGCACTCAGGGCTGCCTCTACTTCAGCCACTTCCTCGTGTGGACGCCACGGGTGAAAACACACATGAAGTGATGTTCCCAGCTGTGGAAATTCCCCTCAAAGGCCTGCACCTCATTGAGGAAAGACACTGAGCCGTTCACCAGGGCTGGTTGTGCCGTGTTTTAGTTTCTTTTCTAGATGAAATTTTGTAGAAGTTTAAATGTCTCAGGGTATCCATCGTCCTGTATTTAAGGCGCCGTGTCTTCTTCTCAGACAGTGCTGGCTGGTGGTGTCTGTCCAGTGACTGAATTGTGATGGCTTATTCTTAAGACAGTGACAAATGGAGGCAAATTTAACTCATAGTTTTTATTTAGCGGTCTGTCTTTTAAGATATGATGGGCGTTTACCATTTTCAAGATTTTTCAGAAACTAAAGTTTACAAAAACAGTAAGATGTCAGCAGAGTACTTTGAGAATTAGATGAAATTCTAGAAGACCAGCGCAAGGTGGCCCCTGATGGAGCATTAGCAGCGTATCCCATGTCCTCCGGCTGTAGGAAATGCGCAGTCCTGTAGTTTGAAACACGCCTTACCTGATGGGTGCTGTGAACACTGCTGGGGCTGGTTCTCAGGAACCTGATGAAAGTAAATTCCATGTGGCATCCCTGACTGGGCATGTAACATGCCGTGGCACGACCCTCGCCGGCCTGCCGCTTCCGCGCCGTTTATTGTTACGTCTGAGAAACTGCGGCTCAGGGGGAGTGAGTAGCCCCTTCAGTTTCTTTCTTGTTAAAGAGGTGCGAGAGACTCAAGCTGACCGCCCCCCAACTTGCAGATCCAGTGCCACTTTTCCCAGTCGTGGGGCACGGCAGCATGCGTCCTGCCCCCTGGCCCCCGGAGGCCCTGCCCCAGCTCGCTTTCTAGCGTGAACGTCAGTTGTAAAGTCCTGGGCTCTGGTCTGCTGTGCAGGTAGCGACACTCCACCATCCTGCTCGAGGCCAGACGCAGAGCCCGAGCTTCTACGTGTGACGAGGCCTGTGTCAGGGGACGCCGACCTCACAGCCTCAGCCCACTGCAGCCTGAGAGACGCGCCACTATCGGCGTGGTCTAGGCGGGGTGCATGCAGCAGGTGCTGAATGTATGAAATTCTGTATCTTGTTGAGAAAATACAACCCCACAGAGTCACTGGAAAAGGAAGATCTGGACTTCATAAGGCTGTGTGCCTCTCCCTGCACTGACGCCCAGGGGTGATGTTAGCACACACCACACCCCACACACCACACACTACACGCACCACACATGCACCCCACACACGCCGCATACCACAGCCCACACACCACACACCCCATACACCACACACTCACACCCCACCCCACACCCCACACACTATGCACACCACACACAGCCTCCACACACCCCACATACCACACCCCACACACCACATGCATATCACACACAAACACACACACCACACACCATACGCACAGCACACACCCTGTTTTAGCCCAGCTCTCTGTGACGTTGAGGAGTGAGTGCAAGAAAGGAAAACGCAGGGTCAGGAGGGTTTGCCCCACCCCCATTTAGAGTCCACTGCTTCACCCACTAACTCTGACCGCGCCATGGGCAAGTGCTGTGGGTTCACTGGGAATGTGGATGTAGGAGGAGTTAGCACTCCGGTCAGGACCGTGAAACCTGGGCTGTGCGAGGTGAACTGGGAGTTCTCAAAAGCAATCATTTAGAAATAAATAAAAGCATCTCTCATTTCATATCAACCTCCTGGTGGTAGGAAAAATCAACGCATTGAAATCTGACCACCAGGGAACGTGCTGTGGTGAAATCGATGATCTGAAAGGCACACAGGTGTCTGCACAGCATCACCGAGCTGGCACTGCCACACGTGACCTGGGGAATGTGAACAAGACAAATAATCGTAAAAACCCCTCAAAATAGCAAATCTGATTATGTACAAAATCTAATTGATAAATTATATGTTTATGGTTAAATCTATGCACCAAGCCGTCCCGCGTGACAGGAGAGGAAAGAGCAGGGAGAGAGTGAGAGCTGCTTACCGGCGCGTCATCGAAAATGCCGCGGAAACAGGTGATTTAATGGGACCCGTTCCTGACGGCTTCTCTGACAAAAGGAATGTTGACATCACGGCCACTAACTTAAGTCACGGACGTGGCGTGTTCAGTCCCAGAGGTTAAAGTGGAAAGTCTGCAGCGCCCACTGACTCCGGGATGGCGTTAAGATGCCTGCGAATCAACTCCTTGCTCTGTGTGGACAGTGCAGATGCGTCTCTCTCTTCTTCAGATGAGAAAAATATAAGAAAACCCTGTGTTTACTTTGGAAAATGTTACACAAATACAAACTACTAACAAAAGGAGTTTTTATTAATGTTTGCCAATAATTTGCAGAAAACAAATTGCATTATAGTTGAAACATTGCAAAACACTGAAAACGCTTTTAAGTCCATTGTAAAATTTGACATTTACAAATACGATACCAATTCTTCTAAACTTGCAAAATTAACAAACATGAAAACAACATACTGCCGGGAAAACAAATTATGTGATAGGCATAATTAACAATCTGAAAATAACAAAATCAAACTTCTTGCTTTTTAAATGACAAATCTATACTTGTAGGTTTATTGCCAAGTGTTTTTACAAAGACTCTTGAATGATGATTATAAATCATATTTTCTGACATCTTCTCATAAAAATACTGCTGTGCAGCATTTGGCTTTAGTCATTTTTCCCCAAACATGGGGACTGCTTTGTGCAAATCCATTTAAATCGCTGTTTACTTCCGGAGACACGCCGTTCCCTCCGTTGTCAGATGTGGGGTAAACGTTAAGCCGGGGCTAGTCGTTGGGCCGGGAGGAGTGAAGCCAAAGTCCTTAGTGAAGTGCTGTGATCTCGTCTGGTCGCCAGCCGCTGGCCACTCTGTGTGGTCTACGCTGTACCGGCCTTGAGACGGGGTTTGCCCAGTTTGAAATTGGAGCAGGAGAGCAGGGGCGGGGGAGGCGGGGGTCAGCGGGTGACCAGCGAGGAGGACAAAGGGGGTCAGGCAGGCTCCCGGGCAGCGCTGCTTCTCGCCACTTCTTCGTCTCCAGGACCTGAGGTGGCTCCTGCGGCGCTGACTGGTCCTTGCGACCTGCCATGCACCGGACACCCCGGCTTGACCGCCGCGCGGCCCTTGCTCCTGCGAGCGCCCATCCTCATGACTGTGGGCATTGCTTGGTGTTCCTCTCGCTCCAGGTCCCCTGAGCTTCCTGCATCTGCGCTTTGGCGTCTGTCTCCTTTTGAAAATTCTCAACCAGTATTTCTTCCAAGATTTCTTTCTACTGCTTAATTTTCTTTCTTTGCCGTTTGGTCTGTCCGTCACACGTCTCTCCCACCTTTTGTTACGGTGTCCAGCCCTTGGACAGTCAGGTATTTTTTTTCTTTCATTTGTTTCCTCTTTTTATTTTCACTTGGGGAGTTTCTTCTCGGCATCAGTACTTGCCGCTCCTTCCTCGGCCACGTTCACCAGCACGCCGTGAGCCCGCCAGAGGCTTTGCTCCTTTTTATTAAACGTCTTTAATTGCGAGTAGATACTTGGCCCTTCCTTAGAATTTCCTTCTCTGCTCAGATGGCCCATCTGCTCTTGAGGTTGTCCACTGTGAGCCGTCGCACGTAACCTGGCGACTTCACATTTCCAGTCTGATATTCCCAGAATATCTGCTGTATTTGAGTCTGGTTCTGGTGCTTGGTCCGTGACTTCACACTGTGCCTCTGAACATGTCTTTATTGTTGGAATCTGCAGTGATGTGTCGGCTAAGGGACCGGGGTAGCCGAAGCTGCCCGCTGCCCGTGAGGCTCCGTGTCCATCTGGGACTCGGGCTGTCTCCGCTGTTTGCTGTGCATCAGAGGCTGCTTCCTGCTGTGTTTTCACACCCCCCACACTGTGTTTTCCCAGTGTGGCCCATTGTCTTCGGGCTTCCCCAGAACCTTTGAATTAGCAGCTGCTGAGGCCTGGTGTTGAGCTGCAGGCCCCGCGGTCACACAAGAGCCTGCTGATGCCCTGGGGCCAGGGTAGCTGACGCTCATCCTGTCATCTGGGGGTCTATTTCTACCACCTGGTTTCTCTCCTCATCACAGTTGTCATTTTATGCGTTTTATGGTGTCAGTAATTTCACATTGAATTATAGACATAATGTTGTGTTGTTGAGTGATGAATGGTGATGTTGTTATGGAAATAATTGGGTTTTATTGATTGGAG